CAGCTGCCATGTGGGTGCTAGGATTTGAATCCACATCTTCTGGACCAGCAGCCAGTGCTCTTAGCTGCTGAGCTCTCTCCAGCCCTGGAGGCATTTTCTTAATTGACATTCCTTTCTTTTGGATAACTCCAGTGTGTGTCAAGCTTACAAAAAAAAAAAAAAAAAAACCCAACCAACCAACCAACCAACCAACCAAGCAACCAACCAAACAAACAAACAAACAAAAACCCAGCCAGCACAGTAATTAAAATACAATCTCAAAAAAGTGCATGGTTGACAAAGTATGCAGGGCCAGTGTTTGTGGGCATGACTTTTCCCTAGCCCAGAATGAAGCAGAGACTTTCACCAAAGAGGGGAAAATCCAGAAAAAGAAAAGAAAAAGGTCAGGTGTGGTGGCTATGCTGGACCAGAAAAATCAAGGCTAACCCATCTACCCAGCTTTTGATAAACAGAACTAAACTCTAAATAGCTTACACTACTTTTGCTTTGCATGAATGTTGTTTGTCTCTATTCAGTCCATCCTCTTAGCATGTAATTATTAAATACCTTGTATGCCTAAGGCATTAGGGCAGAGACAGTGTAGGATATATGATGAATCAGATATTTGTACAATTGCAAAAGAAATTTAATGTTGACATCGTACAGACTGGTGTGAATCCTTGTGTGTTTTTTTTTTGTTTTGTTTTTTGTATAAATTTCTCTTTTAACAGCAGGAATTTTTAGGAGCCCATGAGTCTAAAGCATCCTAGCAAACATTCTTTTCCATGACTTTAACTACCCTGTTAAGTCCCTTACAATGAAGTAATCTTAAAAAAATAAAAGGAAGTTCATTCCAGTGAGTGGCACCCAGTAGCTGCTTAGTACTGTCAAGATCCATTTCCTGAATTTCATTTGGGGAGTCAGCATCAATGGAAGTGAGCAGGAAAATTGTAGAATGCTTCGGGTGTGGGAAGAGGAGAGTTGTAAATGAACTGGGTCACTATATGAGTTTAGTTTGTTTTGAGACACGGACTGCCAAAGCTGGCCATCCTCCTGCCTCCATTTCCTGGGTTTATAAACTTTCATTATTACACTCAGCACGAACAGAGGTTTTACCTGGAATGGACATGTGAGCTAGACAGTGGAAAAAGTGGAGACTTCTAGATCACAAGTGAGGAATGATAGAGGGCTTTACAGAGATGCAGAAGGAAAAGCTCTGAATGACAGATTACTTGCTATCTTCAACATTTGGGACGCTGCAACAAAAACAATACCCTAAGCCAGTATGATGGTTCAGCCAGTAAAGGTGTCTGTGACTAAACCTGATGACCTGAGTTCAATGCCCAGAACCCACCTGGTGGAAGGAAGCAGTTGTCTCCTGACTTGCACACGTACTGTGATAATTCCATTCCTCTGTACCTAAGTAATTGCCATGACAACCTATCCAGCAGATATCTAAAGTCTGAGACATACAAGAGAAACACAGAGTTGGTTATCTGGTAAGGGATGGCTTCTTAGGTGGCCATCTTTTTATCTTAACCTTACCATGCACATTAGGAGAGGCAAAGGAATTCTTTTAGAACTCATTACAAAGTATTTATTAATGAGTTTGTTTAATTTTGGCAGACAAAACAGGGTCTCAAACTACAGCCCTGTTCATTCCTGGCTGCTCAGCCCTGAAATAACAACACAGAAATGGTATTAATTAAATCACTGCTTGGCCCATTAGCTCTAGCTTCTTATTGGCCAACTCTTATACCTTAATTTAATCCATTTCTATTAACCTGTTTATCGCCACGTGACTGTGGCTTACTAGGTAAAATTCTGTCCTGTGTCTGTCTCTGGCAGGGGCTACATGGCTTCTCTCTGACTCTGCCTTCTTTCTCATAGCATTCAGTTTAGTCCTGTCCCCTCCCACCCGTGTAGTTCTATTCTGCTCTGCAGATTCTTTATTAACCAATGGTATTCACAGCATACAGAGGGGAATCCCACATCACAACCCAGGCTGGCCTCAAACTTGATACGATCTTCTGACCTCAGGTTCTCGTGAGTGCTTTGTTTGATTATTATTGTTTTATTATTTTGAAGCATCACACCAGCTCCCTAATACCTCTTTATACAAAAGGTCTAGATTTTTTTCCTGGGGGCTCCTGAAATAAGACCCCTCCCCAAGGAGGGTCAAAAAAGCCTGGCAATCGGTAACCCCTCCCCAGGGAAGGTCAAGACGATTCCCACAGGCTACTTAAACTGCCCCCCAGAGAATGAACATGTGTTCCCTGAGTATCATGTGGTCTCCCCTTTCCTCTCTTCCCTCTCCATGCTTTCCTGAAACCACCCGGGAGCATTGCATTAAACATGGGTGTCTTTTAATTTGGTTTAATTTGGTCTGATTGGAATTATTTGCCTTGGCAGAGAGACTCGTCTTAAGAAATACCTAACAGGTCTCACTACATAGCCCTGGCTGACTTGGAACTTACTGTGTAGACCATGTTGGCCTTGAACTCACAGAGATCCATTGCTTGTCTCTGCCTTTCCAGTGTTGGGTTAAAGGTGTACACTGTCAAGCTTGGCTGATTCTTTTATTATTATTAATTACATGTATGTGTCTGTCTGTGTGTACATGAGTGCAGATGTCCACAGAGAACTGGGGTGTCACATATCCCTGGAGCTGGAGTAACAGATGGTTGAGAGCCCTCTGATGTGGGTGCTGGGAATCGAATTCGGGTCCTCTGAAAGAGCAGTAGGTGTGCTTACCACAGAGCCATCTCTCTAGCACTGATTATTTTAATGCTTAATATTTAATGTGTGTGTGTGTGTTTTTTTTTTTTTTTTTTTTAAGAGAGTGTCTTGCTATGTAGGCCTGGCTGGCCTGGAACCTGCTGTATAATCAAGACTGCTGAGACAGAGTGTGTAGCTGAGAATGGCTTTGAACTTTCTGCCTGAATCTTCTCAGGGCTGGGTTTTCATCCCCACACCTTACTGCAACAAGTGCTATTTGCATATCTGTAGGTTACAAAGTGCTGTGTCATGCACGCTTAAATCATGTTACCAGAAATACTCACATACTTGCTATTTTTGTAGGTGGTTGGTTATCTTTTAATAAGAGCTTCATGATTTAATCATGTCCCAGAGGCCCTATTTCCTAATACCATTACAATTTCAACATATTTATTTTCGGGAAACCCTCTCTGAACTATGCACCTGCATATTTGCAAAATTTCTGTCAGTATAGTGTAAATTGTTACAAAACGATCCCATGACAGGCTTGCAGTAAGGGCATCTTCCCTGGCTACATCCTGGAGTTTCCAAGGGACTGTTGCTGTGAGCAGCTTCAGTACTGCACTTAAGATCTTATAGCTGGAATCTGTAGCCGAAGAACCAGAAGTCCTGTCCCAGTTCCCCAGAATTTGTCACATAAACAATTTAAATAAGTTAGGAAATGGGCAGCATTTAGGGGACTGACACAGAAGGATCAGCACACTTTCAAGGCCAGAATGCTCACACAAAGAGTTTGAGAACATCCTGAACTACAGGGGGAGAGTCTAACCAACAATTCCAGGTGAGGAAGAACTTGGGAGGCCGAGGTAGGCGACTGAGTCCCAGGCCAACCAGGGCTAAACAGGGAGGCCCCATCTAAAAATAAAATAAGACAAAACAAAAACCAAAACAAAAAACTCAAAAAATTCAATAAAGGAATAAATACACTAACAGAGACATAAACTGGTAAGGAGAAATAAAATTTTTTTCCAGTTTATGTTTTAGGTATTTCAAGTCTAAAGTAATATCTCACAAATATATTTTAAATTTGGTTTTTCAAGACAGGGTTTCTCTGAAGCTTTGAAGACTGTCCTGAAATTAGCTTGGAACTCAGATATCCACCTGCCTCTGCCTCCCGAGTGCTGGGATTAAAGGCATGTGCCATCCCCGCCCGGCAATATATTTTTAAAGACGATAAAATTATGTACGGTTCTGATTTTTACAAGGTCAACAGGAGTGAAAAATTTTTGCAAGGCTTTTCAGTGATGCCGAATAAACAGGAACAGGACAAACCCAAAGCGGGATTGAGTTCCTGAATTCTGCCTTCTGCAGAATCAGTTCTCTGCACTCATCTAAAGCGTCGCGTCCTGGGGACTGCGGGCGGAGACGCTCCGAGGCGACAGCCCAGGCAGCACGCGAGGACGCCGGGTTGCAGCTCCGCCGCTGCAGCTCGCCCCGCACGTGATAACTTCCCGGACCCTGCGCCTTACCGCTCGCAGCGGAGGAAGAGTTTGAGCCACTCCCGAGCCGGCCCTCGTGACGTCACGAGCGCAAGTCCTCTTCCCAGCCAATGAGAAGGCCGGATAGCAGGGAAGCCCCGGCCGGCGGGGGCCTCCAGGGCGCGTGCGCACGGGCTCCGCGTGGCTATATAAACATGGCTGGCAGCGCAGAGCCGCGGCCGGTGCGGAGCGCGTGTGGGGCGCTGCTGGACGCTGTGGGTCTGTAGGACTTTGAAATTTTTGGCGGGGAAGCGCAGAGTGGAAGCTCCCCGAGTGGGAACTGAAGTGACGGCCCGAGGGAGCTGCCGGTCCGGGCGCTTCTGCGGCGGGACCGGGGCTGAGGCGCGCACGTGTGGGCG